AAATAACAAAGGAAAATACAAAAGTTTAAGGGCATTACAATGGATCTGTACAGTACCAATTTCTCACTTGCTCCCCTGACCCCAAATTATATAAGTTTTCACCACTGAACAATCTTTGCTCAAGAGGATGCCCAAATGAAAAAGGACAAAGTTAAAAAGCTTTCAAGAAACAGTAGTGCTATTTTAAGCCCCTGAGGGTGTTTAATGCTGATGGACTCCTATTTTTTTCCTGGAGAGGACAGGTTAGTGTCTTGAAGACAAGAGTTACTTCTAGAGGTTCTACATCCAAGATCAGCAAGTCCCAAGAACGCAATATGAAAAAAAAAAAATGTAAGAGGAAAACATGGCTAAGAACAGTTACTTCTTTGGGGAGGAATAGCAAGGGGTTGCTCTTCCCTTCTCCAGGAGAGAACGTGTCACCACCATGCATAAACTAAAGCCATATAAACAAATCTCTTGCCCTCAAGAGGAAGAGGATAGCAACACCAATCAAAATGGAGTGAAGGATATGGAACAGCTTGCATTTTAGCTATCAAGTTCTTGCAAGTTGTCCACTTTAAATCTTCAGAATTAGGTTCAAGTAAAATACCCTATCCCAACCCACCAGCAGCCACCTGTTAAAAGAGCCCCTCAGGATATAAAGATTCAATTGCCAGCAGTACACAGTAAGCCGCACCAGCCAGTCGGCAAAGAGCCAAAGCAGAAGTTCTCCAGGACAGCTATGATCCAATCTTCCACTGCATTGAGAAAGCATTTTCTTCCAGTTCATCCCACCACATGTAGTGTTCGGAGCATCTGGCCAAAGACATTCCAGAAGAGAGCAACAGCTGAAGAGCTGCCTTGTAGCTTAACTAGGCTGACCCATGTCCTAGTACCTTCCAAATGCAAAGTTTTCTCTTTGCAGCTATGTCTGCTCAGTAAACAAGTTGTATCCTAGGCATCACAGGCTTCCACCTTACTGACTAAAAGAAACAGTTTATACTGGAGCACCCATTACAGCTCAGGGTAGCCTCAGTGCATTTTAGCAGACATTTAAATCCTTTGAGGCTTAAATCTCCACCTGTGGTCTTTAGAAGGGCCAGATATGAAAGCAAGTAGGTAGAATGGATTGGCTTCCAATGATTTGGATTCTGCACCAAGAGAATTTTGCAATTTGCACACAATAAAAAAGGTATCTTAGGATTAATGAGCGATTGAGCCATCTTTTGTTGGTTCTCTTTTATAAAAATGGGAGGGGGGGATAAAAAAGAAAGATAGAATGACACTGACACTCATCACTGATTTGGGCCCACATAACAGGTACTCTGGTGACTCACTTGTAAGTTACAGTTCGCAAGTACATTTTACAATCTAGTGTCCAAGATACAGTACATTTAACATCTGTTCATTCTGATGCTATAAAAGGTGGCTTCATAGGGTAGAAATAAAGCACCTACCCATGTTGTCAAAATTACACAAAATTAACAGCTACTCTGCCTTTCAGCCTGCTGGAATTGAACTCAAACAATACAAGTGGCTTTGGTTACACAATTACCTAGCAGAGCTTTTAATGAGATTATCCATGCAACTTGCTTTTACTTTGCTCTAATGAAAAAGGTACCATTATTTGGATTAAAAACCACACACAGGGACATCTGCTATGAAACAAGGAAGTTGGGATGAGGACAAATCTATGCAACCGACAAGGAAGTGACTGTACTAAAATGTGGGAGGGGAAGTGTTGGCTTACGTGTTGTGAATATAGGAAAATCTTAGGGAATTGAGACTCCGAAAGAGATGGGACTCTGCATTCAAAAGGCACAAGGTAAGATTCATGAAGTGGCCACATGGGGGAAGCTATACAGACATTTACATTTTATTTATTTTTAAGCACAAACTATTTCTATAGTTGCAAGAGACTGACCTGGAAACTCTCCCAGTTTGAAAGTAAGGTTATTAGTCACCTGAGCACACAGTAAACAGATATCCAACTAATACTGCTAAAAAAAAAAAAATCAAATCACTGGTGGCATAAATATGCACCAAAGCAACACAAGTTTCTAGCAATATTCCTATTTTGAGGGAAAAAAAGAGATCCGTTCTCTTTACATATGTGATTTGCAGTTGCCACTCATTTCAGTTCAAGTTACTGTAGAAGCTGCAATCTGTATGGAGCCATCCAGCTTTTATGCCACCACAGACCAGAGAATGCCCACTGTGTGTAGTTAAGTCAAAAACAGTCTTTTTTTTTTTTTAAAAAAAAAGTATTATTTCAGTTTTATTGCACACAGAAAAAGGGTTAAACTAGGCTGTTGAGTACCACTGCAGGATTATCTATCCCTTTACTTTGTTCAAGCTGTTTAACAGGCAACAGGTTTTGCTTTGTACCGCCCAGTAAAATTCCAGCAGCAAGGTGTAATTATTTCACATGCCTGCATGATTTTACACAAGGCATGCTAGCTTTCCTATTAAAAATGAAGCTACTGCATTCCCATCCCTTGCAATGGGAGGGTGCAGATGTGTCCAGGGACAAACTACCAACTAATCAGCTTCCTCACATATTATACCAAGGTGCATTCTCCATTTTAGCCCCCTCCCTCATAGCTACTTCAAAATTAAAGACCAAACTTGCCCAAGAAATGCAAATGAATCCTTGTGGCAAAAGGTGTGCGCATGTGTGCTTTCAGAAGGAAACCATTTCAGGGGGGAGGCCTGTCCTATGCCATGCTCTCCCCGAATGAGGCCCCTAACACAGCCGAATTGCAAATCCCAAAGTGAAGAGAGACAGAGGAACTGACAACCAGCCAGGCACAGTCACTGAAGGACAACAGACCCATTTTCCCTTGGATACTCTTTCACCAAGCTAATGGACTTAAAAAGTTGAAGAAACCTTATTTAAAATGTCTCTCAATAGTATAGCAGAATTTAAAACTGTTGTTGCTTTTACGCTTGGTTCAAAGCAAAGAGAAGCATTTTAATTAAAAGCCACAAACTGGTATTTTCCCAGTGGGTTTGGATAGCAGTCATTAGTTACTAATGACCTTTTTGTGTTTCTAGAATATCACGTGCAATTTCTCTGAATGATCTCAGCTGTCTTGCCAAAAGACTGTAGAAGAAAACCCAGGCCCTTTCAGAGACTTCAAGAACCACTATTAAGCAAAAAAGTTACCATAAGCAAGAATTCAGTTTACAAAAAGGAGTTTTGGGGTAACAGCAAAACAAAACGAAAAAGGAGGGGAGTGAAACTTGTCAGATAGCTTATGACTCGGGGTATTTTCACTGCTGTGTAACAGTGGAAACTCCCCCATTAGGTAGATATGGATTCTTGGATCCTGTCAAATGTAAACATGCCAAGTGTTAGAAGCTAATACAGAGACGCTCCTCCTCATCTATTATAAGCCCTCTCCCCCAACAAGGTAGTTTATCCCCCCCATACATCCAAACTACACAGATGAGGGAAGTAGGCAGAGAGACTAAAGGCCAACCACAGCTAGCAGCATACAGGGGAGGAAAGAGATGGACATTGTTTAAATCTGCTGCCACCAAGTAAGAACTGCAGTTCCTTGCAATTCAGCTGCTACCTGAAGCCCGAGATGCTTCTCTTTTCAGTCTTGAGGGGATTAGCAGAGATCCCTTTCAGTCCAAGAGGCTTACGTTCTCCATCTTTTATTTATTTACTCATCTTTGAAATAAAAAAAGTAGGGGTGAGAGCAGGGTAACTTGCATTAATAGTGCGTACTAGAGTGGAATTTGTCTGGCTACCACCCAAAATGGCATGTCCAGAAGTCTCTCACCTTTGAGAGCAGTCTTTTGGTTGACATCTCCCACCCAACTCCTGTTACCCAGAAAGAGCTACTTCTTAAGAAGCCACCTGCAAATAAGGGTCAGAGTCCTCCCATAATAAAACAGCTCTCTCAGGATTCCTTCAAGTAGAATCATCCAGCCCTTTGTTAGACTGCTCCGAGCTGGAATTGCAGAGTCTGTCCATGATCCCCTGCAGCATAGGCTGGACAATGCCCAGGAGGGGACGCTGGGAAGGGTCTCCATCCCAGCAAGCTTCCATCAGCTGCCAGCATTCCTCATCAAATACAGGGAGGCGCTCAGGGCGTACTCCTGGATAAGGAGAGGGAACAGGGGCCGGTTACTACAAAGAAATGCCGAAACAACGGGACAAGTAGTCCCTTCATTTTAGCCACTCTGGGACAAGTGACGTGACCAGAACCCATCTTCTCCCAAGACTGTCCTTAGCAAGGAAGACACCGTTTCAACTGCTGTTTTAATGCACGTTTGGATAGAAAAAGCACCAGAATCAGGAACCATTTGAAGCAGTCTGAAAGCAACTGCAAAAAACAGTTCTTATGAGCTGGTCTCTGACTTCAGAGAAAAAAGTGGCAATGCAGATTTTTATTTTTATTTTTTTAAACCTTAACGAAAGGGGAGGGGAGGAGGAAGAGAATAGAGAGAACTTTGTACAAAGCCTTTGTACAGCATTGTAAGCCATCCATACCTCTTTTAACATTGTTCCAAAGATGATCTTTGCTCGCACACCTTTCAAAGGCCTCAGGTAATTTCACATGGCCCGAACAGAGGTACCAAAACAGGATACCAAATGCATAAACATCCACCGAGTTATCGTATTTCCCTGTGGGAAGACAGCAAACAGCGTATTTGACCAGCAGATTAAAGCAGACATCTAAGAGAACTTATGCTATAGTTCCCCACATCAGCAGAAGTTAAGTTGCCCCAGGGCACCGAATCACTGGCATGACAAAGAGCAAAAGGCTTCCAGTGCTCCAGAGACAATACCCACCTATGAAAATTTACAGAGAATATTCTCATTAATGCTAGTGGGGCAGACCATACACCATGCATAAAAAGATAAGCAAAGGTCTCTCTGAGCAGGATCAAGGTTTAACATAACGTGATCCTGACTGCACTCCCTGGGCACTACTGTAAGAAGCTTGGACAGGGAAACGGATGAAAAAAGTGTAAAGAAATAGCCTGTTATGACCAAAACGCAGAAAGGTTCCCTTGAGAAATCGGAAGTGGCCTTGAAACCAGACCTAATTTTAGATCGCCTCACTTGACTGCTGAATATAAACAGAACCCTTTGTTAGGGTAAGACTTTTTAAAGATTTGTTTTGGAAGACTGGACCATTTGCCCTTCAAAAGCCATTGGTTAAAAAAAAAAAAAGTTAAGCTCTTCAAAGGCTGCAGTAATTATTCCCAAGAGGGCACCATCTGGGTCAGGCATGGTAGAGCACCACCATGAAGCAGGACACACCTGGAGGAGGCAATAGCCACCTTCAGCAACCTGACAGCATACCAATAAGAGGAGCTCCAAGTATGCACTCAGGACTGCTCTCGTGCAGCTACAGTGCCTAGCATAGCTCTGGGGAGCAGAGCCAAACAAGGGTTGGAGTAAGCTTCGCAACAGCACCCCTGGCCACAGCACGAAGGCAGCATTAACTTGCCCTTAGACTAAAAGGAAGTGGAGAGGCAAGACCCAAACACCCAGGAAGGTCAAGTCAAATGCACATTCGAAGCAAAAACTGAAGTCACAGTGGCAACTACTTTTCTTCAAGTAGAGAGGGAGGAGGTTTACTTTGGTGGTACTTACGGTTGAACTGAAACATTTGCTGGTGGTACTTAAGGTTGTAT